ATGTACTAAGGAGTTGTCAGTCCTTGGAAAATGACATCATACTGGAAAAGTAGAGAGTGAGAGAAAGAGAAGGCGGCCTTTATAAGATGGATTGAGAAGTGGCTTTGAGTGTCTAAAACATGGTATAACATTCTGAATTGGATAATAACTCCATTAATTCATAATATCAAATGCCACAGCCCTCCATCCTCCAAGAAAAAAAATAAAGGAAAATAGCTTTTCTTTACCAATGACTACTAGCCAACAAAGGTAAGTGAAATGACGGGTGGGGGGACCCAAACAAAAAGCCACTTTTCCAAATGAAATAACAGATTCAGAAAATCATCCTATGGATACTAAAACCAGGAGTAAAAAGTGGCTGGAGACAGAATGTCTTCATGGCCTCCGAGGACCACGCCACAGATCACCTGTTGGTTGTTAGGTGCCACTTAGTCAGAATCTACTCACAATAACCCAGGCCAGTGCTGAAACGCCTTCCACACTGTTTTCCAGATAGGAATCTTTCTAGGAATCACCAGGTCTCCCTCCAGAAGAACTGGGTGAGTTTGATCTACCAATTACTCAGGTACAGGTAAGTGCTTAACTGTTGTGCCACTGAGGTGGCTCACAGATAATCTGTTATTATTGGTAAGTGTTCTCTACTTGACTAAGACTACAGACTTTAAAAAAGAAGACAAGAAACATCAACCATTTGGAATAGTGAATGGTTATTGTTAGGTAGCATCGAGTATGACTCATAGCAAACCCTATGAACAAGAGATCTGAACCCTGTTCTATTCTGTGTCATCCTCACACTTCCTGACACACAAGAGCCCACTGCAGCAGGAACAGTGAATAGTCAGGGGAAATCTGACAAATGTGAATACTGGACTACATGTGAGCTATTTGGGATAACTGTTAGTTTTCCTAGATACAATAGTCATGTAGGGAACATTATTCTGAGGAGGCAAATGCTGAATTATTAGAATGTCTGCCCATTTATACTTAAGCAGTCCATCCAAGCAGGAAATATATGAGTAGATATGTCTGTTGGCAGAGAAAGAAAGAGCACAAACGTGGCAAAAATGTTCACCAACAGTATAACCTTGTACTGTAGTCAGAACTGACCCATGGCTAACCCTCTGGTGGGTTTTTAGAAGCAGTTAATTGTAGGGGAGAAGACTGCTCGTCCTTCTCCAGCAGAGCAGCTAGTGGTCTCGAAACCTGTACCTTTGGGACTGCAGTGCAGCTTCTTGTGACTAGGCCACCACATTATGAATATATACTATATATTCAATGTATTCTTTCAACTTTTTGGTAGATGAAAAAAAAATTCATAGTATCAAGCTAGAAAAATCTTTGCCTCAAATATTGAGTGAGGGGATTCATTCTACACCTGGGCCTGGTCACACTTCATCAGAATTCTGAGGAGTAGACAGACTCTGGAAAAAATATTTGCTAGAATACTTTAATTTCTGCTTCACTAGACTATCGCTGGACTGGCCTTGCCTCTCCCTGCACAGGTACTGAGTAAGACCAGCTCACACATCACATTTTCATACTAAGCAATCTCATCCCTGGGGATGGGAGACAGAAAGGAGAGAAAACAGGACTTAAAAATATAACAAATCAAATAAACCAAAGCTTCTATCACTTGCAACATTATTTCCATACAAGATGGGATGAGAGACATATTTACAAGAGAAGGAAGTGCTGCTGAACAATGAGAATATTTGTTGTGCCAGACAGATTTTGATTATATGGAAACTACTATGTGGGAATCCGATCCATTAAAATTCCAAGAAAGAAAGCAGTTCAGCACCCGCACACACCAATGCGGAAGGGCCTCTGTGTCTCTCTGCCAATGAGTTGGAATGGACTCGTAGATGACCCTCCTTCAGATTTTCAGAAGCTGTAAAAAGAAAGGGAGTAGACGGTCCATCTTTCTCCCATAGAGCAGATGGTGGATTAGAACCAACTGCCTTTGCCTTTTTTGTTGACAGCCCAACTCCTTATCCACTAAGACACGAGAGCTCCCTATGCAGAAGGGCATACACCCACAATCAGTCAAAGCATCGCTGGCAGGCAGCAAGGGCAGAAGGCCAAGTCTAATCCTATAGAGAGAGAAGGCTTGTCTAGCAGATGTTGTGTGTACCGTCCAGCTGGAACCAACTCATAATTGATCCTCCAGCAGGTTTGCAGAGGCAGTTAATCAACTGATCCTCCAGCAGGTTTTCAGAGGCAGTTAATCAGACAAGAGGAGATTCGAATGGCTTGTCTTTGAGTGGGCAGCATATCTCCTTACCACTAAGCCACCAGGTAGGTATGTTGTCGTTGTTATGTGCCATCGAGTCATTTGCGACTCATAGCGACCCTAAGTACACCAGCCCTAAAC